TCTTATTATTATTATCCTTAATCTTATTTTTATTCCTATTATTATTCTTATCCTTCTTTTTCTTCTTCTTCTTATTGAATCTACAGTTTTAGTCTCTTTATACATGGTATTAAAACTGTTCAGGTTATTGGATGTTACGAGACGAGCACGCAGCCGATTGGACGAGAGGTTTGGACGTGATTCTCCAAGTCGGAGATCCGAGTAATATGGTATCTGCTCCGGAAGATTTCCCAAAATGCGGATCCTTCGTCGGGCCGGACTACTTCCTCATATAGACTGCTAGTTCCCTTAAGAATCTTTGGTCGTGTATATAATTGTAAATAAACTCGGACAGACTGAAAAGTGTACACGCCTTGAAAAAAAAAGACTTTTAACTGTTACGTTCGTTATACGCAAACGACTTAAGAAGATGTGCAGGGTAGTCGCTAGAATTATTTTCTCGATCAACGGAGCTCCGACACACAGTTTTTGTACTCCTTTTAAATAAATATCATTTTAAATTAACAGCGTCTTTCATTTATAAATCTCTCCATTACAAACCTATAATAAAAGCATCATTTATACATCCTTAATGTCAGAGAAAATATTTTTATCACACAGTAGATATTTGTTATATACAAAAATCATATTTAATCAAAAATTTAATGGCACAAAATTATTACTTGGTTATCAATAAATCATATTAAAAAAAACATCCAAATTTCATCAATAAATAAATATTACATTAAAGTCACGTGACTGCCTTAACCGAGAAAATGTCACGTATGAAGAAACAAAGGAAAGAGGCGCGGTTCATTTCAGTGTGTAAACGTCAGGTATCCCGGGAATCCTAACCATCGCGGGCATCGTGTTCGATGCTGCGTGCCGAGGTCCCGTGATGTCCTGCTTGTCGGCCGTGGATTCGCAAGTGGTGACCTTGCTCTCGGTGCCGCACGAGATCCTGTTCCTCCAGCACAAGGTGTTCCGAGAGTATGCCAAGATCGCCGTCGGTCCGGACTTCGTCCACACCGTACCCTCGTTCCTGGTCCTCGCCTCTGTGGCGATCGTCCTCTGGAGGAATCCGCCCTCGTGCAACGGCCTGGCGCAAGCCATGGCGTCGACGATGTTGTACAAAGCTGTTCAGGTATACAAGAAACCTAAACGGTCGCACTTCCGGTTCGTAATAACGTTATAAGGTGGTTACGTGTTTGAAGCTGGTGGTCAGCTGGATCGTCGCCATCGCGGTTTTGTGGCTCTGGCTGACGCTACAAAGGCTGCTCTACTGCTGCGTTTGGTACACTTGGAGTTACGTGAGTAGATTATACAACCCGACACCAGCTGCCATTTTCTATTTACTCCTGGCTATTTACTGCTTATATACATTTACTGCTTATATCTAGTTTGCGGTTAGGAGAGATTGCGTGTTTTGCAGGAATCGGAGTACAGACAAGTGTCGTATCAATGGTGGCAACGAGTTTGGTCATCATACTACTCACCGGCATTGAAACCGCCGGTCATGTCGGCTAGTTTTATCAGCTGGCTGATCTCGATGGCGATCGCTTCGTTTGCCCTAGGCTGTGCACTTTCCGCGAACCGTGTGTGGAATCTTATCGTCGAACATCTGATCGTCGCGAATGCCGCAATGGCGACGGTCAAGTGCCACGTGAACTCATACCTAAAAAGGTTCGATTTAGGTTAAGTTACTGTTTTTACTGTTTTTACTGTATTGTGAAGCGGAGGCAACCCTCGTGGGCCAAAAGAGCCCTTGGGTTGGTTTAGGTTTTTATGGTTTTATGTTGCAATGACGCGGAGGAGACCCCCACATGGGTCCTTCAATGGTGGACTCAACATATCTTCGATTTTGGGTTAGATTAGGTTGGGTTCAGTGAACTTATACGTAAAAAAGTTGGATTTAGGTTACTGTTTTTACTGTTTTTACTGTATTGTGAAGCGGAGGCAACCCTCGTGGGCCAAAAGAGCCCTTGGGTTGGTTTAGGTTTTTATGGTTTTATGTTGCAATGACGCGGAGGAGACCCCCACATGGGTCCTTCAATGGTGGACTCAACATATCTTCGATTTTGGGTTAGATTAGGTTGGGTTCAGTGAACTTATACGTAAAAAAGTTGGATTTAGGTTACTGTTTTTACTGTTTTTACTGTATTGTGAAGCGGAGGCAACCCTCGTGGGCCAAAAGAGCCCTTGGGTTGGTTTAGGTTTTTATGGTTTTATGTTGCAATGACGCGGAGGAGACCCCCACATGGGTCCTTCAATGGTGGACTCAACATATCTTCGATTTTGGGTTAGATTAGGTTGGGTTCAGTGAACTTATACGTAAAAAAGTTGGATTTAGGTTACTGTTTTTACTGTTTTTACTGTATTGTGAAGCGGAGGCAACCCTCGTGGGCCAAAAGAGCCCTTGGGTTGGTTTAGGTTTTTATGGTTTTATGTTGCAATGACGCGGAGGAGACCCCCACATGGGTCCTTCAATGGTGGACTCAACATATCTTCGATTTTGGGTTAGATTAGGTTGGGTTCAGTGAACTTATACGTAAAAAAGTTGGATTTAGGTTACTGTTTTTACTGTTTTTACTGTATTGTGAAGCGGAGGCAACCCTCGTGGGCCAAAAGAGCCCTTGGGTTGGTTTAGGTTTTTATGGTTTTATGTTGCAATGACGCGGAGGAGACCCCCACATGGGTCCTTCAATGGTGGACTCAACATATCTTCGATTTTGAGTTAGATTAGGTTGGGTTCAGTGAACTGATACGTAAAAAGGTTGCTACTAAGAATCCCTACTATTTAAAATCGAACTACTTAAGCAAATCTGTTAACCCTGACAGAATAATAACGCTCGCGCTGATGTACTGGTCCGAGGAGCCTCTGAAGGTCGAGAAGGACACGAATTTCCCTCCGGTGAACGACAGCAAGACTAATTCGGTCTGCGACGAGTGCCAATCGGACATATCCAGCAATCTGATGATGAATGAACCCCGAAGAGAAGTCCTGCCAATATCTTATGGCACCAATTGGACGCCAAAACCGAATTTCTCTGGGTACAAAGAGCCCCAAAGGAAAGTGTCGATGAAGTCGTTGTACACGATTGGGGCGGTGAACGACATTCAAGACTCGGACGAGTTGTCACCGCGGCAGATGCGTTACAAACGCGGTTGCCACACGGTTATACCGAACAACCTGAGCGACCAGTCGAGCGGATGTTGAGGAACCTGTACACGGAAACACAGTGGGAAAGGACGATTTTCTAGGTCACGTCGCCCCGGCAGAAGTAGATTGATTTTTGCAACGACGTGGTCGTGGGAATTAATCATCATGATAATAATAATAATAATAATACGCGACGACCAACGGGGATTTTATGAGAGTATCGCGTGTAGCGGACTTCGGGGGATCCGATTGGTTCGAATCAGGCTGTGATTCGAATTTCATTCGCTACGCACTAGGCGACCTGGTTCGATAGATAAGGTCAAGGGTTTATGGAAATTGACAAGTGGAGGCGTGAAGGAGGCTGTGCTACGAGTATTGTCTTTCAGATCAACCTAACCTTACCTTAGAAAGTAATTTTCAATAGGTTTTATGAAAAACAATGAAAAATTGTTCAGTTCCTTAGAATCTCATCGTACTTTCTACAAGTAGATTAGATTTAAGTATAAAAACGACTTGTACAATTTTATTGTAATATTGTATATTATAAAAATTATACGCCTACGTATTTTTTATAATCACAATCTTTATTTAACCGAACGATCGATATTGCTTTCTGCGTTCAAACGAAATAAGCAAACATGACGTTAACCACTCTTTACACAGGAACACCATCGCTGTGTACCTCTAATTTTCTTTACCCCTTGACCCAATACTCCCACGCGATTTTCCCCGTTTCATAAACATGCCCAATTAAAATTAACGCATCCCCCCTCAAAATGAACCGAGTCATTTTTTCTCTCCAGAGAAACCATATATATAAAAAATAACTGAAGAATAATTAACGTGTCATGTTTTCTTTTAATTGTCTATCGAAGGAACGAAGCTTTGACGAGACTCGTTCCAGCTTGTTTCCGGAGGGGATGCTACCGACTACGCATGCGCGTCGAAGGGGTAGCGTTCCCCATCTTGCGGCCAAGCATTATTCTGTAACGACATCCCCAGTAGGATAGGTCGACCAGGGTTCTACCTGCCGCTATCCGACGCGCGATAAAACTAGTTGAAAAAGGGAAGTGGATACATCCGTTGCAGTGACGCTGACTTGGACTAGACTCTGAGGATCTCCAGTTTCGTGGGATTGTACAATATCAAGACAGGTGAGGCCGGGTGTGCGCGAATTTCGTTCTTTGTGCTCGGGACAAGGTTCCCTAGTCCTGAGGGATGCTGGACATAAAAAAAAGGACAAATAAGGAATAATACGTAAGAGGGAGTCTTGAATAAATTCTAGAAGAGAGTTCTGGGTCAGCAAAAGGCACATTTTTAATTATTAATGTCAATCTTCCACCGTTTTCGAAAATTGTTTCACTTCAGCAATCAAGAATAGTTAAAAATTGTGTTTACCTGCATCTGAGGATAATTAAAACCGTACACAAATCCACGTGCACGGCGTAACGCGTGGCACGGAGTTTCCTATTGATTTTGCGTCCAGCATCCGGTGGGAGAATGGACGCGAGCACAAAGACTAGTAACTGCGTATGTACACACGTGCGAAACGGGCACGTGTCGCCCCTCCACTTCCCCTGGCAAACCTGTTTATGAATCGTAATAAGGGTTACCGGGACAGTGGAATGAAAGTAAGGGGTGCTTCACGTTCAGTTGGGGATCCAGTTTTCGGGGACACCCCTCTTGATCTTCACAGCTTGAATCGCTACGTTCAGTTGGACGATCTTCTAAAGATCAGATTCAGATCTCGTTGCTACGGTCTTCATCACACGGAAGTATGAGGATTTGCGTTAACGAGATGCAAGAATTTCAAGTTCTCTGCCCACTTCTAATTCCCTCTTGTCGCCTCGTTTCACGGATCTCGTTCAAAGCCTCAGTCTCGGAAGTTCTCTGTCCAACGACTGTCTGTCTCCCTGTCTGTCTGTCTGTCTGTCTGTCTGTCTGTCGCTCCGGAATGCAGCGACGGGATTTAACCAGAACAAAGGTCACACCGTGTCGATGTAATGAACGCGGAAATTGAAAAGCTCGAACGTCGCACGTCGCCGGGACGCCCGTGTATCTGATCGGCTTCGCGGTAATTCAATTTATTATTTACGTACCGCCCCGAGTTGAAACTGCGCAGTACTTCTTAAATCGCGTTCTTTTAAAAGTTTTTCTATTCACGGTTTTTTTTAATCGATCAATGATTAGGAAATTGTGTGAGTTCTTCGATTTTTTGTATATGCAGTGTTTAAAAAATCGTGGTACAAAGGGATGATTTCTTATGTGAAATATAGGTATATAGTTTTTTCATATTTGGTGTCAGTTTCGAGAAAATCGAATTTGAAAATTCAATAGGAACGCGTGTACTTATATAGATAGAGTCTATTTTATTCGCTGGATTTTTAGTTATGCACTCTCGTGAAAGAAATAAGTTATGACCTAAATAATGAAAATCAGGGTTAATTAAAAAGTAATATTGTTCAGGTACACATTGACGAACTCATTAGTTTCGGTTCACGGTTCGCTAATTCGTCGAGCAAGAATTTGTGTATAACAGCAAGGAAGACATTTTTAAAATTTGTAATTTATTAGAATAAATCAATTATTGTATTTATGGTTAATTATTAATTAAAGTCGCGTACCTGACGAATTTTTTAACTCGATTTTTGAAAAAATGACGCCATTTGTGAAAAACTATATGCCTTGTTTTCGACTAGATTTTATGTGAGGAAACGTCCCGTTGCTGGTTATACCACGATTTTGTAAACATCCTGTATGTTTTATGCCGAGTGTGGGCGGCATGATGCAATACTCTCCAGGTGTTTGCAATGACGGATTACGGTCGGATTTTGCAATGGTTTTGATTTTGGTATGGAAGTCAATTTGTATGATGTAATAGAAAATAGGGCATTTCTATTTTCTTTTTTTATTATTTTATGCGATTCATGGAAATTTGAAAATAGCATAAATCGTGGAATGATTTTTAGGACGATTTTGTAATGATTTTGATTTTGGAAGTAAAATCAATTAATATGACAGAAAATAGTGCCACAATTTTTTAAATTATGTTTTGTTCGATTTGAAATTTGAAAATAGCATAAATTGTTGTGTACAATGATTTTTGGAACGATTTTGTAATGATTTTGATTTTGGAAGTNTTCTTAATATCATTTTATACAATTCATGGAAATTTGAAAATTGAATAAATTGTGACATACAATGATTCCCAGAACGGTTTTACGACGAATTCGATTTTAGAACGAAAGTCAATTTATACGACAGAAAATAGAGTGCTCCAATTTTTGTAATATCATTTTATACGATTCATGGAAATTTAAAAATAGAATAAATTGTGACATACAATGATTCCCAGAACGATTTTACAACGAATTCGATTTTAGAACGAAAGTATATTTATACGACAGAAAATAGAATGTACCAATTTTTTTCACGTCATTTTATATGATTCATGGAAATTCGAAAATAGCATAAATCGCAATGTGCGATGATTCGTGAAACAGTTTTTCAATGATTTTGATTTTGGATCGAAAGTCAAATTGTATACCAAAAAACAGCGTGTCCCAATCCTTTTATAGATTTTGATTTCATAGAATTCAGGGAAATTCGAAAACTGATTCGATGATTTTTGAAATAATTTTTCAATGATTTTGATTTTGGATTGATAGTCGAATTGTATACCAAAAAACAGTGTGTCCCAATTCTTTAAATAAGATTTCATAAAATTCAGGGAAATTCGAAAACTGATTCGATGATTTTTGAAATAATTTTTCAATGATTTTGATTTTGGATCGAAAGTCAAATTGTATACCAAAAAACAGCGTGTCCCAATCCTTTTATAGAATTTTATTTCATAGAATTCAGGGAAGTTCGAAAACAGATTCGATAATTTTTGAAATAATTTTTCAATGATTTTGATTTTGGATCGAAATTCAAATTGTATACCAAAAAACAGTGTGTCCCAATTTTTTCATGGAAATTCAATGGAAATTCATGGAAATTTGCGAATATCATGGAAATTTGCGAATAGCATAAATCGCGGTATATAATGATTCGCGGAACCGCGACATCGATTTCGCATTAAGGGAGTATGCATCCATTAGCAACAATTTCCAAGAGGCAACACGGTGTCGCCCTGCTTATTGACCGACTTCCGCTTATGCAACCAAGCTGATAAAACATCATCGTAAACGAGATTGTTCTATGTATCCAAAACTATTTGCACTATGTATATAACAGTAGATGGCTGAATCTTTTGGCTTTGGAGGAAGCTCTAGCATGACCAAACCATTACTGGTACAGTTGGATCTGCCATATTGGAAAACATTATAATTTACAAAACCAAGTTCATTCGTGACATAATTAATATTAAGCCAGATTTTTGAAAATATAATAATATTATCGAGTAAATAGGAAGTATTTAATGAAGTAATGAGATCAGAGAACTTGGTCCTAAGATCACCTCCCCCCCACCCACATTTTGATAATAAATTTTGAGAAGAACAGTTAGTTTTTAATTACTATTATTAAAGTACGAGGACAAATTCTTCGTTAATCATGTGATCAATTACCCTAAATTTTCATGAGGCACCCTCGATTACGTCCCGATTGCGTGCAGGACACTTTTACGTAACGTCGCGAGGGCCAATCGTCGCGTGATTTCAGAAATTATGGCAGAGAAGATGTACTACTGGGGAGAGGAGAAGGATCAGGTCGATCCGGAACAAACTTTCATAGAATTTAAAGCGAAGTCTGGTAGGAAAAGGGAATCAACTCGTCCTGCACCGAAGACGATCGTTTCAACGATGCAGGACCGAGAGGGAGGCACCATCGAGAATCGGGAGGAAGACACGGAGCGTGGTGGATGGGACAACAAATTAGACTTCTTATTCTCGTGTATTAGTGTATCCGTGGGACTTGGAAACGTCTGGAGGTTTCCCTACTTGTGTTACAAAAATGGCGGAGGTGAGACCAAATTTAAATAACAATATTAAAAAATTGTTAATAAAAATTTGTCTAAAAATAAGAGTCTTATTTTAATTTAATAGTTTATTCCAAGGATTAATGTTAGTGATTGAAGGACATTAAAAACAAAATAAAAGTTTCACTAATCATTGCAAAAGACCATAATTTTATTACTTACATAATTACTTAAATTAATCATTTATTATTATTATTATTATTATTATTTATTGAAACCAGAAAAATTTACAAAATAAATCCTGTAGAGGTATCACAAATACCTGTACATAGGTCTGGTATAATATTTCTTATAACTAAAATACATTAAATATATAAATGATCTATACAGAAGAGTGGTTAACAGTAAATATATTTTATTTTATTTATTATTGCCAGTTCTCACAATTGCGCTATATTAAATATCACCCAGTTTTTCATTTTGTAGTTACTAAAATTTTTACTCAGGTCCAATTACCTTAGATTATTTGGTAAAGTATTATAAATCTTGGTAATTACATAAATACTTGTCTTTTGCCCAACAGTTAATTTGGTTTTTGGTATTGGGAGGTTTTTATTCTTCGTTGTGTTTGTTCTTTGTTGATGCAATATTTTTAAGTATTCATTATTATATTTAATTGATTCCAATTGAAAAATTTGTTTTTAAATTTTATTGCCTTTTTGATCAAATCAGATATAATTTAAATAACGATAATTAAAAACTGTTAATAAATTGTTTTTCAATTTTAGTTCCTTTTTGATTAAATCAGATACAATTTAAATAGCAATAATTGAAAATTGTTAATAAATTGTTTTTCAGTTTTGGTGTCTTTTTGATCAAATGACAAAATTTAAATATTGATAATAATAAATTTTTGGTAAATTTGAATGCGTAGGTGCCTTCCTCATCACGTATGGGATCGCCATGTTGTTTTGCGGTATTCCTATATTCTTCCAAGAAGTGGCTATTGGGCAGTACCTCGGCGCCGGAGGGATGACCCTCGTAGGACAATTGTGCCCCTTGTTACAAGGTAGCATTACAATTATGGTAGTAGTCCTTGCGATTTTGTTGTCTTTTCTTGTAATTTTTACCAAATCTTTAAGTCATTAATGTCGAAAACTTGTTTAAAACTGGTGGAAAACATGATTTCGACGTTAATAACGTAATCAGACGTAATCTACACGATTGAGTCATTCAGAGTAGTCCTAATCTACAGGTTTTCTACAAACTAAGTAGAAAACTAATGACATAAGTCGAGTACTCGTCACTGCTTGTAAAGTGTAGAACTTTGTATAAACTAGCAGAAGACACGTGAGCGAAATGACATTATGTAAATCTGGCAACACTGAACTTAAAGAATATTAACTCTGCTGTCTATCGAGAGAGTGCGAGAATGCGCACGCTGCAATCACTATACATGTACAACGAATGCAATATTGCCAAACCTGCACGCTCTCGACACTTCGTTAGTATTGGTTTACACATACATTACTTATGGTAAATGTATGAATACATTCAGACTGAAATCTGCCTTACCGACCGTGTGAGAAACGGCAGCAGCGCGCAAGCGGTACAGCAAGCATGTCCCACTCGTTTCTCCCTATTCCAACAGCTCTCCCCACCTCACGCAATAGTCACAGTAACTTAGCGAACCATAATACGCTCACACTATTTAACGTATCCCCACCTAGGCCCCAGTTGAAGGTCACGTCGCGTGCGCGACACAGTTGGACATGCCTGCGTTACAGGGTACAAACCAGGGTTCTCATAATTTGTCCCTCGGCCGGAAAGTGGGGGCGACGCGACTATGGTGGGGACTGGTACTTGATGGGGGTACGCTCAGGGACGAGATAATTTTTCCCTCGGCCGGAAAGTGGGGACTACGCGACCATGGTGGGGACTGGTACTTGACGGGGGTATGCTAGGCATAGTCAGCGAAGGCGCATGAGGGGAATAGTAGTGGGGATCGAAATACGGGCGAAAAAGAGGGGAAGCGAGCCGTGCGGGAAAAATTATGATAAGCCTGGTACAAATTCTTGAATAGGAACATAGTTGGGCTATTACCTTAAGTAGAGAATTTCCATTTGACGCCTGATTGCATTCATAAAAATTGCAGGCGTCGGATACGCTACAATGACGATCGTTTTCTTCCTGGACGTGTATTACTGCATCATCATCGCTTGGACACTTTTTTATCTGATAAGCACCTTCGTCAACATACCCAGCGTGCCCTGGAAGGGTTGCGGTCAGTAAACAAATTCAGCAAATCTCCTTCCTTATTTCCCCCTTGTACTGAATCTTTGCTTGTAGGCAATTGGTGGAACACCGAGGACTGTTACGACGGCCTCGTTAAAATCGAGAAAACGAACAATACTAATTCGACGTACAATAGTACCGAGCCCCACCATACTACGCCAGTCGAGGAATACTGGGAGTAAGCAAAAACTCAATAAAAAAAAAAGATATGATCATCGATGAAAACTATGATGGAGACTCGTTTGATGATTGCAGGAGGCGAGTCCTGGGGGTGACTTCCGGTATCGAAAGCATCGGGGGGATTCAATGGGAGCTGCTAGGCTGCCTGATCGTCGGCTGGCTCCTCGTTTACTCTATCATCCGTCGCGGCCTCCATCAGAGCGGTAAGATCATCTGGTTTTCAGCCTTGTTCCCCTACGTGGTGCTTTTCATTCTTTTGGGAAGAGCGGTGACGCTAGAGGGCAGCTATCGAGGATTGTTGTACTACGTAACGCCCAGATGGGAAGAATTGTTATCGCCCGGACCGTGGATCGACGGGGCTACGCAAATTTTCTTTGCCTACAGCATCGGGACCGGGGCCCTGCCCGCCCTCGGCTCGTACAACAAGTTCCATCACAATTGTTACAAGTATGAAAAGCCAATTTCTCATTTACATCCAAATGAAGGTCGAATTTGAACAAATACGTTTGCGCAGAGACGCCATAATCACTTGCGTGGTGAACACGTTGACCTGCCTGCTAGCAGGCTGCGTGACGTTCTCCATTCTTGGTCACATCGCCTCTGAACAAGGCACCGAAGTGTCCGAAGTGGTGAAAAGTGGTCCAGGACTCGTATTCCTCACATATCCAGAAGTAGTCCTAAAACTCCCTGGGGCTTCGATGTGGGCAATCATTTTCTTCGTCATGTTACTAGTAAGAATGTTCACGCTATTGTCCTGAACGTATTCCTAAATCGATTTCTTCCTCAGATACTTGGGATCGACAGTGAATTCTGCATCGTCGAGTCCTTCATTACCGGCGTGGTCGATAATTGGCCAGACCTGCTTCGTCCCCATCGAAAGAAATTCACCATCGCTATTTGCTGTCTGATGTTCGCCTTGGGCCTGCCCATGGTGACCAACGGCGGGGTCTACATATTCCAATTAATGGACTTCTACTCGGCGAGCGGCATGTCGATCCTCTGGGTCTGTTTCTTCCAAACGATCGCGATATCGTGGATATTCGGTGCGAAGAAGTTCTGCGATTGCATCCACCAGATGATGGGCGTGCGGCTGAATAAATTCTGGTACGTTTGCTGGGTAGTCTTCGCGCCGGTCATCATGGCGGTAAGTATGTTTCTTCATTGAGAAGAGATTACTAAAGAGTGGCACTGCTTGCGTTCAGGGCTGCCAGAAACAGGGATCTCGTAACTTTACGTGCACGGCTCGCTTCCCCTCTTTTTCGCCCGTATTTCGATCCCCACTACTATTCCCCTCATGCGTGCTCATGCGCGTTCGCGAAGCTCTCCGCAGCGCTACCGTGAAAATCACTGCATATCCCCACCAACTATTGGTCCCCACCATGGTCGCGTCGTCCCCACTTTCCGCTTGCACGTAAAGTTACGAGATCCCTGGCCAGAAAATCGTATCCCATCGTATCCCATACCCCCTCCATCAGCAATTCTCCTCTGGCGATGCCATAGTGGAGACAGCGTGACGTTCCTCTCTGTTGAGCATCGCGAGAGGGGAATCGAGCCAATTTGCTGGTGGAAGGGGTATGGGATACGATTATCTGACAACCCTGTGCAGGACTTCTCCTCTTCCCTTGCTGTCCCCCACTACTTTTTTTCCCCCACTTACGTTATCCATGGTCATTGGAAACATGCCTTAATAATGCCATATGTAAGTGGGGAGAGCACAGGGAGAGGAGAAGTCCTGCATTCTGGCAGCCCTGACGAGGTCCCATAAGGCTCCCCATTTTTTAATAACCTCTCTTCGGTGGTTTCTTCAATCGACATCAAATTTTTTATTGATATAATGTTTAATATTTTAATACTATGTTTTGTAGTTTATATTCGTGTTTCAATGTGTGCAATACACGCCACTGAAATACGGGAGTAATTACGAGTACCCAGCATGGGCAGAAGTGGTTGGGTTTTGCCTAAGTTTATCATCGATGATCTGGATACCCGGCTACGCTCTCTATTACGTTATCGTCACTCCAGGATCCATTAAAGAGGTGATACATCTTCAGCGGACATCTATTTGTCTCTGTCAGCCATTACACGAATTCGTTTTCACACACTATTATTTTTAGAACCTTGTGAAAGGTCTGCAGCCGAACATAAAGTCGCAACCGAAGCTACCGAAAGGCGAGAAGTCCGCAGTGATACCAATGTCTGAAAGCAGTGCAGGATTGATCACTAAGAACAACAGTTTCCTGAGTCAAACATGATTGCCATGAATGGTCTCTCTACCTCCCATCATAGGTTGTAATTATAATCGTAAGCTTAGCGTATTAAACAGACTTAACATAGGCGAAGTTGGACGCAGGCTCGCCTAACGTCAGATAAGTTGACTTTCTCTGATCAAGAAAGGAGGAATTCTGTTATTTTCCTGCCGTCACGAAAGTCCATAACCACTTTCGCACAGCTTGGAGGTAGTGGGCTAATCCAGGCATGGCCAAGTGATTCCTCCCTACTCCAATAGCTCTCCCCACCTCGTGCAATTGTCACAGTGACTCAGCACTGACACTACTTGACGCATCCCCACCTATTTTCGCGGTCCCAAAAGTATATGACCGTTTCACGCAGCTTAGAAGGTGGTGGGGTTGTAACAAACTCCCTCCACACGGTTCAGTATACACGGCAGGGATCTCGTAATTTTTCGGTCGGCCGGAAAGTGGGGACGACGCGACTATGGTGGGGACCAATAGTTGGTGGGGGTATGCAGTGATTTTCACGGTAGCGCTGCGGAGAGCTTCGCGAACGCGCATGAGCACGCATGAGGGGAATAGTAGTGGGGATCGAAATACGGGCGAAAAAGCCGTGCACGAAAAATTACGAGATCCCTGCTCCACACGGTTCAGTATACACGGTAAAGCATTGAGATGCGCAGAACGATCAAAAACTGAACTGTGCCCGGTCTAGGGGTCTCAGAATTTATCCCTCGGCCGGAAAGTGGGGACGACGCGACCATGGTGGGGACTGGTACTTGATACGTTCGCTTCGCGAAGGCGCATGAGGAGAATAGTAGTGGGGATCGAAATACGGGCGAAAAGGAGGGGAAGCGAGCCGTGCGGGATAAATTCTGAGACCCCTGGTCCGGTCCTAAACGCTCGGGACCACGAATATAGGCTCCTGCTGAAGGTTGAATCGTTAACAAGTCACCGTTGAACATGTCTGAAGTAATCAAATACGTAGATTTAAATAATGGCGAAGATATGTGAAGCATTAGAAAGAAAGAGAGAGATGAGGACACTCTTTGCGCAGTTATGGACTCTCGTGACGGCAGGTATAGAATGATTTACGAACCCGAGAGCGAGCCAACTTCGTTTCTATGGATAAATATAATGGTACCTCGTAAAGGTACTTAGAGAATGAAACGAGTTAGATTTATATTACGTTAGTTTTTTGAATATTCGAGAGGTCTATATTTTTCTATCGCGATTGTCGATCGCGATATTCCTATACCGAGCAACACGAGACGTAGCCTAGCCAGCCAGACCGGTTTTTAGCGAGGAAAGTGCGATTTAACGAGAAAGTAGACTTTGCTGGAAGAGATATCAAGACGGCTGTTGAAGATATTCTTGTCAGACGTGAAGAATGATTATTTTTGACACGAGATTTATATTTGGAACGAACGGACGGTTTCGAAACGAACGTCCTTTCGTTTGACTTTAACACGCGAGCTTTCGCTGATCGAAATTTTTACGAGACTCGATTTGCAGTATTTTCTACAGAAATTTGTAACAGGATTTTCGAGCACGACTGCTTTTTACGAGACGATATTTTGTAACCGAGACGACTGATTTCTACGCGACAAGTTGACAGTCGAAAGCTAAGAATTTGTGCCTCGACGACGATGATGAGGATTAATAGAGATAGCGTGACTGTCTTTAGTTTGCCAATTTCTTTTTTTTTATATTTTTTATTGAACAGAAGACAGGATTTTTAAAAGTGTAGTAATCTGAACGTTGCCTTAGGTCGCACAAGTTCCGAGATGAAACGGCGAATGCCTCGCAAAAGCCTCGGCATCAGCGTTGCTACAACGAATAGTCGTTGTTCCATGCAAATTAATGCAAATCGAAAATTCTATAGTAATCGGAACGATGCAAACTCCTAAAAATTAATGCTAAGGAATATTCCAGTATTCATTATAAAATACTATGTTATCTGTGTTGTACGCTTGATTAGTACACCAAATAGATGAAGGAATGAGCCCAGATAATGATTATAATTAATCATGTACAGTTTGGGGCAATGATTTCTTTTGGTTCGTTTCATTTCAATTGATTCTTTCTATGATTGGGTCAGTTTCGGCCAATGAGAATTTCCCTTAATAGGACGACGTTCAAAAACAGTAACAAGTCTATATCTTGTTCTTCGATCTGGAATTAATGCTTACCTATTGCCGCTAGCAAAAAATGTTGCAAACAAAAGTTGTATACCTGAGTTTATAAGAGTCTAGTTGCGTTTTGCGCAGCTTGGTAGTCTGGCCAAGTGATTTTATATTTGTGTTGCAACATTCGTTTCTGGTTGTATGTGTACAAAAACTATTGAGTAAATGAAAATGTCATTATTTGAATTAACCGCGCTGGGTTCCTTATGGCGAGTGTGCTGCCAACTATACCTGAGTTCCCGAGAGTCTAGTTGCGGTTTGCGCAGCTTGGAAGGTGGTGGAGGTCGCAGCGAACCCCCTCCACACGGTTCAGTATACGCGGTAAAACATTGAGATGCGCAGAACGATCAAAAACTGTGCCCATTCTCGGGAACTCAGGTATAGCACTAGTTATCAACTACAAATAAGGTCCTATGCAATTTTCCCATTAAAATTGTCTTTATTCTGAGATGTCAAAATTGTATAAAAACCTAGCAGCATCAACGCCATATTGGGCATTGAAAAAAGAAAAAAGATTTAATACTGTTTTTATATCTTGTTCGCTTAATGGAAACTAACATAAGCCAGAGCTGACCAGGAGTCATTGTCCCAAGCTGTACTGATTTCAAGGGATTCAGGACCAGCTTTGCAAAGTATACCTAAAAAACATGGCACATGAACACAGCGCTAAGTAGAAAAACTTAATGGCAGATTTGCTTACTGTGTCAAGTTAGAATGCACAATTTTGATTTTGATATATAAGCCAGTATTTAGAGTCGTTATATTTAAGATCGCCTTAAGGATTTGCTTAAGGATCTATAGGATACTTAGCAAAATATTGGACGTCTTATCTCATTTCTCTCAATCTCTCATCTCTCAATCAAAATCTGGCATTGCCAACAACAATAATCAAGTATACCATCAAGCTTTGCCATTCTTGACCCCTACTTATCGCTATGTTCACGTGGCACGTATTTTAGGTAGAATCCCTTGAGATCAGTGATGAAGACAAGCTTACCAAAATCGATTGTCTATAAGCAAGAGCAATAAAACTGTCCTAGGATGCTTGAAAGCACACTGGGCCTAAATCAGTATTACACGTTTCATGTAAACGAGCTTAAACAATTGTTAATGTTGCAAATCATAAGAAGCTTTGTTTACATTTTAATGTCGCGCACGTGACTCCGTTAGGCTCAGCCAGTCATAGAGTTATTATAGATAGAGTAGAGAAGACATAGGCTCTTGTGTAAGTATTAACGTATACTCATTAGATAGAGAAAGAAAATGGATGACCTCTTTCTATCTCTTTCTATCGTGCGCTAGTAGAAAGAGATAAAGAAAGGTCTCTTACTGTCTCTTTCTTTCTATTCAGGATACGGTTTCCGGACAACCTTCCCTACTCTATCTATACTTGCGGTCCCGTGAGTTTAGGGACCGTTTCGCGCAGCTTGGAAGGTGGTGGGGGTCGCAGCGAACTCCCTCCACACTGTAAAGGATTGAGATGCGCAAAACGATCAAAAACTGAACTGTGCCCGGTCCTAGACTCTCGGAACCACGAGTGTATAATAACTTTATGCAGGCAGCATCTCGTTGTCCGAATTCCCTGTGATCATGGGAACGAGGCCAAACGAGGCTAAACAAAAGCTGCATAATAGTATCGAGTGAGCCGATTGAAATCGTCGCGCGTCTAATCCCGCTCACCGGCCAATCCGGATGGATTAGTCGAGCGGAACGAATGCCCGCTAATTACTCTCACGTTAATCAATATACTTCCGGTGGTTTCTGTCACGAAATAAGCAACGCACGGACGCGGGGGTGTATAGAATCGACAGGTGACCACACTTATCCGTGACCGGATCAATCCGATCGGAATCGCATTATGCCTCGTCAACGTACCGTTCCGCGTCGATATACGCGCATACGCGAATCAGTGACGTCGATTGTACCCGCGTATAATTGGTGATAAGCTTGTTGGCACGAAGACCGAGGGTGGATGCCATACCAGTGTGGGTGAGTGAACTCGATTAACGGAGCACCGGTGAATTAAATTGGACAACCACCACCAAACCCCCCCCCATCCACCCTCGCCCCTGCAGAATCAGCATTGTTTTATACAGCGAAATGAAATTATAACGAATGCAGTGCAGCTACAATCCACCATATTTACACCCTTTGTTCGTCCTCTCCTGATGTTCTCTAAATTGTTTTCGATTGTCAGACGTGTAACGACATTTACGAGTTGTGTGGTACTAAAACGTTTAAACAAATTAGATTATTTATTATTAATAGGTAATCCGGTAGACCGACGGAGATTTAATGGGAACATTTCTGGCTCAAAAGTAGAATTTAATCTCTTCGAGATGTTATCGAGTTCGGTGTATTTTAATAAATGATAATTAACAGACACTTGCCTTCGGTTTAAATCCCCACCCCCAAAATTTCCCCATCCAATTATACGGGACACCATTTTTTTTTTTTTTTTTTAATTAGCAATGATTGTTGGAAGCCGCCTTTACATCAAAACTAAGATTTTTGCGCCCCTAACGAGTTTAAGTGAAGGCCGCACTTCCACAAGTCGTGCCTATCAGCCAATAGACTTTCAAGAATTGTTAGAGTTTAAATATAAATTTATAATAAGAAATATGGCGAAACTTCCGAAAAGTTCTTCGAATTTTCTAAAATTTTGAAAATACGTTCTTTTTTTATAAAAATCATAATTGAAAAAAGGATTTTCAGCGACTCGAAAAGAACTTTTTTACCATTTCAAAGTCACTTCCTATATTACCAACAATGCAGTGACTTATAATTTGTCTGCTTCTTAATTTGTTGCATACACATATTTGATATCTTCGATTAATTGTAAAAATGGATCCTAACTTAACCTAACCCACTCAACCCACGATAATCTAACCTAACGATTGAAAATAGGTTCTTCAACTTGCTTTCAAAGCTGTATTGCATATTCCCGCGGTTGTGACTACGTCGGTAATATAGATAACGACACGCAAATTTTAAAAAATTGTTTTTCGAATCGCCAAAAATCCTCGCCATCATGATTCTTTTTTCAAAAATGAACTTATTTTCAAAATTTTAGCAAATTTGGAGAACGAGGCTTTTCAGAAGTACAGGCAAGAAATAAAAATTCGGAAAATTTTCAAAAAACCGAACCGCCATGCCACATGAATACATGAATTCCATCTAGACAGACGAATCTAGAAATTATGTGGGACCTCGTGTTATGAAACTTGCATGTTTAAACGAACGCGAGGATAACTGCTTGGAGGATTCATTTACCAATAGAAAAATTGATGCCACGGTG